TCCTGCTGCTAGACCATCTGTTGGGAAAAACCCATTTGAAGGGTAGCTTTTCCCATTCCCCTTCTGGGACGAGATTTACTAAGTAAATTTAATGCCAAGGTTACCTTTGTACCTGGATGAATAGACGTTAAAGTACCACCAGAGAAGGCTTGCACATTGCAGGCTCTATTGAGCCAACCCAAAGAGAACACCGGCAACCATTCTGGATGAAATACTGCAGAAGGTGAGTTTGGACGTTTGGGCGTATGGGAGGCTAGGGAGAGCCAAAATGGCTAAACCTATACAGGTTATGATTCGCCCTGGGGCAAAAATCCAAATTTAAGGCAGTACCTGTTAAAGGAATAGGCAAAGCATGGAGTTCAACCGCTGCTAAACACCTTCCTCAAATATGATTTAATATGCCCCTGCCAGTCACCTTACAATGCTCCAGTTTTACGAGTCCAGAAACCAGGCACAGATGATTATCAGTTTGTGCATGACTTAAGAGCAATTGATCAAATTGTAAAAGATATTGATCGAGTAGTCCCTAACCCATCCACTCTGCTCACTACTTGTTCTGAGACTTTTGTTGGTTTACCATGCTGGAGTTAAAGGATGCCTGTTTTGGTATCTGCTTGGGTTTTGAATCCCAAGAATTGTTTGCTTTCAAATGGGAATATCTAGATACAAAAGTGAAAGCACTGCTGGGCAGTACTTCCTTGGGGATTTAAAAATTTCTCCACAATATTTGGAGAAATTCTGGCAAAAGCTTTGAGGGACACTTAACTAAATGAGGGAGCCCTGATCCAGTATGTGGATGATATTCTGATTGTTTGTAAGACCAAAGACACCGCCGACCAAAATATGGTTTTGACTTTGAACTCTTTTGGTTGAATGAGGCTGTAAGGTGTCCAAGAAGAAGGCACAAGTTTCTTAGTCCTCTGTTAAGTGTTTGAGTTTTGAACTCTCACGAGGACAGAGAGACTTGCTCCCTGCCAGAGAGAAGCTCTAGCCAGGGCCACAGTTCCCACCGCTAAGTGGCAACTGCAGGGATTCCTGGGAAAAACTGGATTCTGCTGTGATATTTTACAAGCAGAGAAATTTACACTAGGACAGCCTACCACACTGTCTACTTCTCCTCCTAGAACAGAAGGGAGGACACTGGTTAGCTTCAGGAAGATTAAGAAAATATCAGACTATTATTATTGGATAATCCTACTGTTACTCTGAAAGCAGTCTCCACAATGAATCCTGCCACTTTGCTCTGAATACTGAAGACTCTGTGCATAATGATGTTCAGCTAATTGAACAGGTCTCTTCCAGTGGTCTCAACCTGATGGACCAGCCATTGGAGAGCCAACACGTTGAGATGTTCACAGATGGGAGCAGCTTCACAGACCAGGAACAATGCAGAGCCAGGTGTGGGTTGACTCATGAAAAGATACTGGAAGCAGAAGCCCTTCTCTCAGGTACCTCCGCGCAAAAGGCAGAACCTACACCCCTGATGAGAGCCCTCCATCTCTCTCGGTAAGGATAAGAGAGTAACTATTTTCAATGATTATAAATATGCTTTCTTGGTGTCCATGCCCATGAGGCCATTTGGAGAGAGACAGGACTGTTACTACAGGGAAGAAGGGAATTAAACATGCCGAGGAAGTTTTAACCTTATTAGAAGCTGTCATGGAGTCAGAAGAATTAGCTCTTGTCTACTGTCCAGGACATCAGAGATCAGACTGTCTGACTGCTCAAGGGAATAATCTAGCGGGTCAAATAGCAAAGCTAGCAGCCAGGACTAAAACACCTAGATTCGCAATATTGGCCCC